AAAAGCTCAAAATATTTTGGAAACTTCTTCGCTCCTTGGGCATTAAATTCAATTGCGATAAAAACAACGCGCGTGTTATTGCCAGAAATGAGACTGGACCGAGCACAAACAGAGGATGACAACTTCCTGTGTGTCCCCACATAAACAAATGTCCAGCACATGCGCAGATGCGACTGTAACCTACCTTTAAGGACTAGATGCAAGCCCAAGGCGGTCCTTATGCTCCATATGATATCTTAAAGTGATTATCCTATTTTAAATATCTTACAAAGCAAAACTAACAAAACACAAAATACTTCAAAATACGCAGATTTTAAGTTAGCAATTTAAGTTGGCAAGTACGTTTCTAAAGGACCCAGCCGAACTCTCCTGCAAGCCTTTGGACGTGCTCCACCTTGAGAAGGGGAGGAAAGTCTGGAGGAACGAGAACGTCGCCAGGAAAGCTTGGATACTTTGCTCTGATGCAGGCTGATCGGAAATGAAAATGCACGTTCTGAGGCTCACTTTCACCCCCCCCCCCCAGGAAAAGTCCCTTTTTCCTAAATTTATACAAACAAACCAGCGAAGAATAACAAATTGATAAACGGAACGTACGTTTTAGGCTTTATCCTTTGTCCTTGTTTAACAAAATCGATTTAAAGGACTGTGTCACCGCGTGCGCATCCTACGTGTTTCTAACACCATATAAGTAATGATAAATTATTGTTAATAGTTTTTAAATTCTTTGTGTGTTTTTCCTTCTTTTATTTCAAATAGAAGTATAGTTAGGATAAATTCTAGAAAATTTAGATGCTCAGACGGCAGGAAATGGCATTTTTGGGCTTGAAATTTCAGACATTTTCTGGGGAGTTAATGCCTCCAGACCCCCCTATTCATTCGCGGTATGTCGGCCACACACGTGACCCACGGCCATTGCTATCCTCCTTTAATAATAAGTAATGGATAAATTTTTCTTTTATTTTTTCTGCATTTTTTCCATCTTTTATTTCAAGTACAAGTATAATTAGCATAAATTTTAGAGCAAATTTAGACGCTCATAAAGCAGGAAATGGTATTTGAAAGGTTCAAATTTAAAACATTTTCTGGGGGAGTATGTCGACCACACACCGTGGCCGTCGGCCATTGCTATCCCCCTCTAATATATTATCTAAGATCCCTTTTCAAAAAATACCCCCCCCCCCACGGAAAAATCCTTAAAAAAGGCCCTGTTGTCCTGTATTTCGGTCTCGGAACTGTCGTATGTCGTCACGGTATAAGTTAACTGTGTAGTTCGTATATTTGCCTAGCCACATGTTATGATTGAGGCTATGTGAGGATTGTAAGTTTATCACCTAGTACTATTTTAAGTAGATGCATTTAGTGAGTTAGGTTTTGTGCGTGCTCACAGGGTTTTGAAAGCAAACCATGCTGTGAAATATGTGAAGCCTATGGTTTGTGTCATGTATCTAACTATCTAGGTAGAATACCTAAAAGTAGATGTTGTACAAACTACAAAGTTGTGGTTTATAGAATCTGGCAGACCTCCCCCGCCCCCTGTCTCCTATTTCCTCCCTCCCCCCTCCATTCCCTCCGTTCCCCCACTTCCCGTTCCACCACTTCCCGTTCTCCCATTCCCCGTCCCCCCATTCCCCGTTCCGGGTTTTAAAGATAGCCGGTTTCAGTCTATTTCACGTTTTTCGACAGAGAAGACGATCTTTTTGCCTGTATTCAATCTACAAACACTAAAAACAAGTTTACTAGTCGTATTTTACTCGTATTCTACTCGTATGTACTCGTATGTACTTGTGTTTTACTCGTATGTACTCGTGTGTTACTCGTATGTATTTGTATGTTACTCGTATGTTACTCGTATATACTCGTATGTTATTCGTATGTACTTGTGTGTTACTCGTATGTACTCGTATGTACCTGTGTGTTACTCGTATGTTACTCGTATGTACTCGTGTGGTGTTTTAGTCACGATTCCATTTAAGACTTTAGAAAATGAAACGTCCACACAAGATTTCTAGGAAAAATATTCCCATGTTTACCAACAAACTGTCGGGAAGGTTGTTTTGAAAATTTTATTAACCGAGGATAAAGCTGACTTTAGAACAACTGACACCAGGAGTTACTAGCAATGAGACACTGATAAACAGATTGAGGGGAGCATGATTCATTTGAAAATCTATATAGTCTTTATAATGCTATTTTAATTTGTGCACTAAAAGTGGTAAGATATGCTCTTTATACATACAGTGGAGTCAGGGCCGTCGCAAGTAGGTTTAATGAGGGGGTGGGGGTGGGTAGTGTATTGTATTTGCCGAGAAAAGTCAAATTTGGCGACCATCATTGTACATTTTCCGAAGTATGTGGGGGAGAGGGGGCTCCCCCCACGGGGGTGGGGGGGAAGGAAGTGAAATTTTCGTAGCCGAAAGATGCAGAAATTGTCCACAAATTCTTAATTTCGTGGCAACTTGTTTTCAGGGGTGTGTCACACCCGCAATACCCCCTAAGCAACGGCCATGAGTAGAACCCAGTTGACTCGAACTCCCAAGGGAAGCCAAAAAATGTGTTTGAGTTAGCGGGGTTCGAGTTAACGAGATCAGTGTTGAATTTCGTTTATTATGTTAAGTAATATATATGCCAATCAAGCTCAGAACACGAGTGATTTGAAATACATGATGTTCCGTCGTTCTTTAGAAACCTTATCATAATTTTACATGCCAAACAAGCTTAGTACATGAATCATAACATCAAACTGAATTATTATAATATATGCCAATCAAGCTTAGAAAACGAATGATTTTAAATACATGATATTCCGTCGTTTTAATGTATACTCGTTTTATTTATGGTCGGGGTGGGCAACAATTTTTCAGTTTTTACACTGAATCATATATCATGTCAAGTTATTTTGATTTTCATTTTATTTAAGTGTCCTCCATTGCATATTCACCAACTTAGATGTCTGGCAGAGAAACTCGCTATCAGGTATGTTTTTACATTTGTTATTGACATTTAATAATAGATCTGGTATCTTTTAATTGGCTGAATGTTCGCTTTTTCCTGCTGTTTTTGGATCGGTATGTCCAGTATAATGCCACGATCTCCTACTCAGAGCATGCCTGTTCGCAGGTTTGGTGGACGCCGCAGCTCTGGAAAAATGGTTGGCTTGACACGATAAATCCGAGCAGGGACAAAGCGTGTATTATTCCACCGTAAATGCGTGAATGAAAGTACGAAACAAAAGTCCAAGTAGGGACAAATTTCCAAGGTTAAGCAGGATCATTTTTTAGAGTGTGTATATTACGAAAGTCACCGAACTGTGGAATCGCATCAAAAATTCGTATATCGACCACTCCCACAAACGTCTACGATCGCGCCTACATAGTTTTGCATGTTTACAATTTTAATTTTAAAAAGCCAATTACCAAGAACCTGATTGGCTATTCAAAATTAGAATTGTAAACATGCAAAACTATGATGCGATTCCACAGTTCGGTGACTTTCGTAATAGATATGTATATTTACTATGTAGTTACTTCTTTGTAATTCAGCTCTATAGGTATAGTCCTTTCTCTAATCCAACTTCATTTAGAATTATTAAGACACGTAAAAACAATGAACACTAACATACTATTTATACGATGACCAAAATATGATTTGTATTTGGTCAATAGACAAAGTACATTAATTAGTCAAATATATAACTGTATATCAACACGGAAAATGTTATATATTTGTTGAATATATTTCAAATTTAACATAGTTGATTGTCAGCCGTAGTAAAATGTGCTCAATTCGATTTTTTAAGCCGGACCAATTTTTTGAGTAGCACGACAATTTTGAGATATACTATTGCTCGAGTCAGGATTCGAGCCAGGACTCGAGCCAGGACTCGAGCGAGGACTCGAGTCAGAACTCGAGTCAGGACTCGATAAAAAAATGCGAAAATACGGGGAATTACCATTACCCAATGGTTTTGTTTCATAAGACACGTTACGCAGGCTAGCTACTACAACCTTTCAATAATTACGATAATCATCTTGTGTAATTTACCAATGGGAGCGAGGTTCCAAGACCAAAAAGTATGTGTAATTATCGAAAGGGTGTATTTGGTAATACAGTTAGCTAGCGTGGCCGGCTCTTCTAGAATACAGTTTGGTGATATTGGCGTCTATTGCACGAAAATAAGGCAGCGAGAATTATCCTACCCTTTGACGAATGCTAATGCTAAGTATTTGTTTTGTAAAAAGCGAGAGACTGCTAGTGATGGGCAATATCAACTGTTTTAGTTCGATAAAATACTGGCCGGATATTTCTTTTTTTTGGATATCGATATTTGTGCCAATGTGCCATATATCAAGGACAAACAACAACAATGGTATTGACTATTGGTTCATTCACTGTCTTCCGACGCTAATAACCGTTACAGTCAGAAGCCGATTACATGGAGCATTTTCAACCCCAGGGTTGAACTCAGCCCTGTTTACCGTGTTGAAATTTTAGCCCTGTCTGTATACAAAACTCTATCAAAATCAAACGCGCAATTACATGACAAAATTTTCAACCCAGGGCTGAGTTCAACCCCGAGGTTGAAAATGCTCCATGTGATCGGCCCCTTAATAGCCAAAGTCAGATGAGATTGACAGCTCTGTATGTACAAATATACCAAATATCAACTTTCGTTCTTTAGTTCTTTTATCGAATCTGGCAGGAAAAGGCGGGAAATTGATTTGGTAAACAAGTTCTCTCACTTCCCATTTGCCAAACATTCCTTAGATTATCGATAAACAATTCCTCAGATTCAGTTAAATTTCCTTAAACATTTCGCATTGTTGGTGAACGAATAGTCTAAATTTAAGGAAAGTTCCTTAAACGTGAGAACGCTGTTGGTAAATTTTCATCCATCAAAATCACTTGACGTCATTTTTGGCTCGAGTCCTGACTCGAGTTCTGATTCGAGTCCTGGCTCGAGTCCTAGCTCGAGTCCTGGCTCGAGTCGTGGCTCGAGTCCTGGCTCGATATTTAGGTACCCTCGACAATTTTAATAATATCACTGAATCATCACTTACAGATTTCTTGTAAGTGATATCTTGAAACAAATGACAAGTTTTGCTGGAGTCCTAAGTGCTCTTAATGTAATTTTCGCCTGCATTATTTTGACAGTGCCGCAGCCATGCAGGATTTCTAGTCAAGGGGGGCCGAAGCATTTTTCCCCTACGCTAGTTCGAATATAGTTTGTTTATTATGTGAAAATGTATTTGGACTCTCACGCTATCCATGCATAATATAGTACACTTTTGAGTAGGTATGAAGTGCCATTTTCAGCATTTTGGAATCTATTTTAATCTGTTGAATCCAGAACATTTAAAACATTAGAATATAGTAACGTCTCCATGACAAGAAATGAAAATATATTCCACATGCTTGTACTTGGACACAATTTTTCGAATAATGTCAACAGCACTATTGTTTTATTGAGAAACCGAAACAATTTCTGTCCAGCGAGAGATGAGTCTCCGGTTAATGTGACCATTGCCGAAAATTGAATTAAAAGACAATTTGACACTGAACTTTGCAACAAGTCAACTTTATTACCTAACCAGGGGCGTAGGAAGCTTAGAAAAGTTGGGGGGGGGGGCAGGCTTTGAGGGGCACTTTAAAAAAAAAGGGCATCTCAAAAAATTTTTTGGCGACCCCCCCCCCCCCCCCCCC